ATTATTAATCGGGGGATGGAGGTGGACTGTGAGCTCGTTTGTCTCACTTATTTTATAAAAAGACTATAAAAGTAAAAATAAATATATGAATTTGTTGTAGAAAAACTAAAAACCATCATCATAATATTTAAAATTCTAGTTGGAAATAGCTGCAAAATAAAGGGTATATTACTTTCGACTCCAGATTATATAGATATACCACACTTACATTAGTGCGACATTATGAAAAATAGACAAAAACCACTATTTTAACAGTTTGGCAAATACCGAATTATAATAGAAATATTATCGTAGCAATTTGGTATGTAAACTTTTTTAAGTTGTTTTTTGCATTTATGCTTTATACATAAAAAATCTTATTTTTTATGGAAGAGGTTTCAAACTGACATTCGGCTCACTTGATGGTAAGTGATCACCGTTGCCTATGAATATCTGCAACACCAGAGGAATCGAAGGGTCTTTTCTTGAAAGATCGCTGGTGACAATGAATTCCACAGTGTGGCCGTGAGAGGCAAAAAATTTCAAGTAAATCGCACGGTAGTGAATCGCCAACCATCATTATGATGAGGATGGATTTTCAAGTTTTGTCGTTGAATTAGTCCGAATAATTCCTCTGAGCACTGCCCGTGGTATATGCGATAGAAAATGCACAGAAATGCAATATCTCTTCGCAAAGTGCAGTAGATCAAGCTGATCGGAAAGAACATGGTTGTCTATGGTCCAGGCCGCTCTCCGTTGGATGCGGTCAAGTGGAAGGAACTGCTACTGGGTTGCCCAGGCCCAAAGATGACATCAGTATTCCATATGAAGCCAAACCTGCGCATTATATAGCTGCAAGCAGTAGGCGGGTGTTTTATCTGGAATCAAATACCGTCTCTATCTACTTCGCGCACCAAGCTTTTTATGCCAGTTTAGCCTTCCCTTCCAAGTAACTGCGCAACTAAACGTCTCTTGAACTGTTGACGCCAAAGTATCCGATGCTGGCTGAGGCAGCAAGAGAAGTGCCCTGAAACTAAGGAGACACGACAAGGGTTTTCTTTTTCGGTAAACGCGCAATTTCAAAATTTAAATAAATTCCACATTTATCATATTCCAATTGCAATGAATATATTGTTTATATTCTATATAATTTACTCAATCTGATTAAGAAGTTGTTACTCGTATTGCTTTTGAGAAACATTTTACTCTCGCAGGATTATTGCTTATACAAAATTTTTAAATCCTTAGTTCGTATACATAAGTAGAAAAATATTTTAAAGCTTGATATGTTAATAAAACGACAGACTTAAAATGTGTGATTTCTATTGAAGTTATTACGTCCATAATATGTATTTATTATGTATATATTGCAACTTATCTAGCCTCCGTTTTTAATACAAGCGTCGAATGTGATGTGTATGTACTTCCTGATTTAATGAAGCAAATTAAAGCCATACCTTTATTTTAATCTGTTAAAACATGAGACTCCGCCAATTTTAGACCAATTTGTTTATACTAACATGGTATTTATTTATTTTAGAATTTTAGTTTTTTTTTTAATGTGAATAAATTGTTTCATATAAATCGGTTTAGTTAATAATCAGAATATCCCAAATGTTATTCCGGGTTATAAGCTACAATAGTAACAAGTTCTATTAAAATTCGTCAAGTATTTTCGGATCCTATTGTGACCAGAGATAGACAGAGAGACAAACTAAAAATAAAAAAATAAATATAGCATAACGCAACTAAAATTTTCAAAAAATATTCAGTGTACCGATTTGAACTTGGAACACTTTTATTATAGTGTAAGAGATAGGTTAAATATTATAGTTACAGATTTATTATATTGTTGATCTGTTCCCACATAACTTGTCTTTACCACCTACATGCAGACGATTTACAAATCTACTCTCAATGTAAGATTGCGGATCTCCCAAATACAATTAGATTAATTAATGAAGATCTTATTTGTATTTCTCGTTGGTGTAATTCATTTGGGCTTAAAGTTAATCCATTGAAGACTCAAGCCATTATTATTGGGAGTTCGAAATTAATGTCTCGGTTAACTTTGTCGCTGCTCCCGGCAGTCATATTCGAAGGGACACTTACCCCATGCAGTGACATAGTTGGAGACCAGATACATCCTGACGCATGCGCAACATACACATTGTATTTAAGCCCCGTGAAAAGTATGCCACAAAGCACGATCCTGGGCTACTTGCATCCATCGATTTCCTGCGTCTTACTTCACTTTATCTAGGTTAGTCTCCCAGTCAGTCTTTAGATGGACATATGTATATATAGATAGAGAGCAACGTCAGGAGAAGACTAGGCTATATTTTATTTGAAAAAAAAAATAGAAATAATAAAATAAACAATCAATTGATAAAATAAATGTTTTTGAGAATCTTAAATCTTAATAACGATACAGTTATAGATACACAGACAGACAGACAGAGAACTAACTATTCCTCTATTAACAATAAATAAAAAAAATATTTCAATTAAAATTTAAAATACAGATAGGCGTAGTAATCATATGGTGGGATCTCAAACCATACGGCTCAATGTCTGTCATTATCATTAGTGATTGCCGTCACGTATGATTTCTGAGCGAACAACTTCCTAATACGGTCGTTGGCAGGTTCCCTCCACCACGTGTACGGGTATATTTAGTGGATGAGCCCGGTTGTCGAACCCAAGTGTAATCAAGTCACGCGAATCAGCATTACGACATGCTTGCCTCGGCCGTAGACATTAGGCGCGTAGATGACGATGTTACGATATAATCGTAAACTGATGTCAGACAATAATGTTGTTCTTATTCACAAAAACTACAGTCTGTGTCTTCAAGACAAGACTGAATAGGATATTGTTAAGCTAAGCCAGAACGTTTTACCTTCTTCGGCTAAATCACCACTTAACATCAGACGGGATAGTAGTCAAGCATGCTGCCTTTAATAGCTATTTTTGACATTATTTAATTGTATTGACGTAATTCTTCATTGACGCCGCAATGGGGCGAACCTCAATTTTTCAAAAAATTAGAAGGAAACATTTATTATTCCCCGATTACTAGCTTTTTTTCATCTGAAAATTAATGTTATTTGTAGTTTTCCATTAAGTCTAATATCTTTAATTTTCTGATGAAAAAATTGAAGTTCGCCCCTTTGCGACGTTAGCGACGAATTCATCATAATCATCATCATCATCGTCATCATTACAGCCTATCACAAGTCCACAGCTGAACATAAAACTCAGCTCAGGTAAAAGGTTTATAAGCCTTTTATAAACCTTTTACCTTGTTATGGTAGATATTTTTTATAGAATAAAGGCGACAAGCTAGGATTCAGGCGACCTGATTTTCGGTTAAGAATCAAAATGCAGACGTTGTCATACCTGGAGAATAAGATGGAATACTTCCTTACCAGTATAAACAGTCTCCGGTTCTCTACACTCCCCATACGAAACCTAACATAATTCAGCTGTTTTACGCTGGTATTCTGTGAGGGCGTGGTCTTACCCCGGTCAAGTCGACCTATCTGAGCTATGGAGCACGACTCTACCCTGTAAAAGTAAAACATTAATTTGTTTTATTTATTTATATTGATACATCTTAATTTATTTTATATTTTATGTAAATATGTAGCTATATATTTTATAGTTCAGCGTCATCAGCACTGCTCAAATTTATTTAAAAAAAATTGTAAACGATTGGCCGCCGTTTGAAAATTTTATCCCGCATGAGATAAAATAAAATAATGAATGAAGAAACTGTTTAAGGACATAGTTGTCGATTATCTATACAAAACCCTTTACAGTAACTAGTTGACATACAATGTTAGCTTTAATATAACCTAAGGTCATATGGAAGAACCAAGATAAACCATCTTACCGAGATCTTCCATTTCATCAGTGGAACTTTTCTTGTCAACTCATGGAACGTTCAAGTAGGCAGTTCCTTTTATAATGGTCTAATATAGGCTTTTAAAGTATATACGCTCACCTAGCCTTGCGCTCGGTGCGACCTTACATCTAGTGAAATTGAACCGGTACGACGTATATACCAGTCCCGTTGCGCTCGCGTGCGGAATTATTGAGGCTAAGTTATTCAATTGCAACGTCCATTTTGTTGACTTACGATGGTGTTTACAAATATTTTTTACGTAACTGCCTTTATTGTTTAGCTTTTACGTATGCCGAATTGCGAATTCCCATTTTACTGGCGAGCAACAGATCGCATACTCTGTTTGATTACGATTTCCGCATGTCTAGGCGGCATTGGCGAGAAATTTCACGGAAGTACCGTCTTCCGTCTTCGATAATTGAATTCATTAATAATACAACATTAAATTGAACGTTTCTATCAAATCTAAGTATGTAATAAATTTGAACAATACAAGGAACAAACTAAATCTCTTCATAATTATACAATTTATATTAAATAACATTAAAACTACACTATCGTTAAACTCACGTAGGTATATATTATAGTGTTAGTAAAGACTAAAATAATACACGAGAGAAAGGAAAGTAATCGTCACGTCACTAAATGATTACATTATGCATACGCAATTATTAAAACATTTGACAATGCAGAAAAAGTTTTAGAATTTTGATGATTTTGAAAATTAATGTTTGCATAGATAGAAATGTGCAATCACAATATTATGGGTATAACCATTGATTATTAAGTTATGTTAGGTAACGTTTATAAATAAACATAAAACCATTGATTAATAGGTGTGAAACCATTAATATAAAACAAATAATGTAAAATAAATGTCTTAACTTCCATTATGGAGTAGTTACGTACCTCAGGGAGAATTTATTGACTAAACATTCCTATTGGTGAGTCATTATTTCTTATTTGAGTTAACAACGAGTACACGTACTGGTTGTCTCAATAGTTAGATGGCATCTAGCTGACTCACTGGGCACTAACACGATGTACAACATTGTACGTAAATCTGGCAATGAATTTTCTGTTAAATATAACAAAGACCTTTTTGTTTCAGATTCTTTTTCCTCTGCGCCATCTACACCGTCTATGGGGATGTAGACATCATAACAGAACCACGTCCAGGAGAAGAATATGTATTGGTTAGTTCCGGCCAACAAACACCTTTAAGAAATTTTGAAACATCACACAAAATTCCAGAGAAACACCCACAACACCGCATTCTTAAACAAGAAGAGGGGAATGATAAAATTATTAAGAAATTACATAGTGGTAAGATTAAACATTCTAATGAAGGTATAATATCCATTGAAGAAGATAAGAAAGCTTTGTTCAAAAAGGGACAAAAGATAAAAGCATCCGAATCAATTGAAGTCGATGTACCTGTGTCCAAAATAGAAGACATAAAAATAAAAGAGAACTTAAAGAATGTAGAAACAAATCCACAGTTGGCAGTTGCCTTAGAAGCTATGTCTGAATCCGGGAAATTGAACAATAAATCTGGTACTACAACCCAAAAACCCATTCTAACGACTGAATCTATAAGCACGACTAAGGGGTATGACTACATTCCTATTAATTTTGATACCATAGATGACATTAACAGTGGTTTGTTATCATCCAATATCAAACTTGAAACCGCTGGTTCCGAGCAGAAACAGCACTCAAGAATACAAGTCAAGAAAGGTCCTAATGGTCAAGATTATGAATACGAATATGTTTACTACTACTACGACGAAGACGAAGAAGCTAAAAAAGAAGGAAAAGAGAAAACAACAGCTACTACAGAGAAGATAGTGGAACCTACACATAATTCACATGATGGACCAGCTAAGGTCGAATCTGAAAATCAAATAAGTAGAGACAGTAGAAGAAGTAAATACAGTACAATTGATAGATCAAGTCTAACAACAGCCGCCACTCCTGAAGTGCAAAACGAAGTATTGCAAACACCAACTAGAGGCCGCTCTCGTGGTCGTAATATAGCCCCCGCACCTGTAGAGGAAGAAGTTGAAGACGAAAGGTATAGTTATTGTTAAATTATATTGTTATCATTATATGGGGCATAAATATTATAATTTCACATTATATGTATTTAATGTTTATATCTACATAAGGTTACCGTCGAGCACTCGCTTCCCACCTCGTGGTCGTTACTTACCTGCACCGAGTACGACTACCACTGAAGCCCCGGAATTATTGTCGGAAACGATTAAATATCGAGGTCGCCAACAAAGTGACAGTGTTGCCGACGAGTCCATAGGTCAGACGCGAAGCAGAACACGAGCTCACATAAGGTGACATTTGAATTTTATTAAATATCTTAATAAAACTCTTCTTTTTAATAATTATCTATTCATTACCTTTTCATCTTTTTTTCAGACGGCCAAGCTCAGAACTCGTAGATCTTGACAGCTTTAAGACTAACTCAGGCGACATCCCCTCTCAGTACAAAGAACCTCCCACGAGATATTCCTCCGAAAGCAAAACCACAACAGAGATTACTGAAGGAGCACTAATTACAAATCAACCGTCGCACTCCAAAGATTCTGCAAGGCAAGGTCATAGTTTGAATGGAAATTTTATATTCCAAGAAGTACTAGATGATTCAAAATTGCCAGCCGATTATAAGAGAACCACTACATACGAACAAGATACAACCGAGTATACGACAATGACCGCAATGGAAAAGGTTGCTCTTGACCTTTACGCCTATCTAGCAGGGGAGAACTTAAATAACGAAATAAGCTCGTCTAATGATTTATTGACTTTTGATGGATCCACTACTGTTGATGACGATGGATGGACAACGGAATTGATAACTACTACAGAAGAGGAGACTACAACTGGAAGTACGACTACTACCACAACTACGACAACGACAACTACAACTACGACTACTACACCGGCACCAACTACAACCACTACTACTACATTGGCGCCCACTACCCGCCCTTCGAGATTTAAGGGTCGCCCTGGAGCCCGTGGTCGAGCATCTGTTTCAACGAGTGCTGCTACTGAAGCTCCATTGGAAACCTCTACAAAAGCTAGAGGTAATTTTGCAGTTTTAGGTAAAGATTTTCAATTTCTGAGAAAGAGACAAAAAAAAACGAACATAAGGTTTTAATACTTCATTGAATACTATGTACTAATTATAAAGTTTCATTTAATTTTTCAAATCTTGTTCACATGTCGGCTGTGAAAGAGAAAGTTGTCGTCACGTAATCTATATAAGAGTCTCTTCACACTACCATCTAATAAGCTTAACTTTCAATATATATTATATATATTACTTAATTATAATTTAATCTGTACGACGTATCAATGGCGCGGTAGCGAAATATTTTTTTGTAATGTTGCTTTGCGATTGTGTTGTGCGATATTATGAAAAAGGAAATTGTAAAAATTTATCAGATTGTGACACTAACTACTGTATTATATAGGTTCTTTTTTTGCATTTAGAGATCCATCACTATTATCTATCTCTGTAATTAATCTAACTTGATATAAGTCCGTTATGTAAACTTTGTTGAACTACACCAAAAGTTTTAAAGACAAAACGCTAAATGCAATAAAATCTTTATTTAATTGCAATTTATATAACCACATAAGCTGTCCATATTTTCGCAATTTTTTTTAATATTCTTATAATTGTTGTGAGGGGTTTTCTTCACTTTTATGATTTACAATAATATTTGACGGTATTTCCACACCAGGAATACCTGTGTCATATGTAAGTTACATATTATTTGTACCATGTAATTTTGTAATTTTGTATATAAAATACTTGTTCCACACTTTAATTGAACCCGATGTCAGCAGCGACAAGGCAAACACTTAGCTAGTGCGATACCGAGCTGTTATATAAAAAAGAACATATTTCCGTGCAGTAAATAGCTTTTTCGCAACAGGTCGATTCGGCAAACCGAACGGAGGCCGCAAAGTGACCGTTGCTTCCACCTCAGCCGCCTCAGAGTCCACCTCCACTGCGCCAGTAGATAAACCAGCCACCCAACCAAAGGTTTGCATCAATCATTTCCCCGTCTTTAACATTGTTTATAGTTTAAAAGCGAATTGTATGCAATAACTTCATGCACCAGCGACTGCTTGCAATGCGAATTATCATCTTTTATAAGCTGTTGCACACAGAACATGTCATATTTACGTCATCGATAAACGAGTCGTAAAATTATAAAATTTTATAACCACTACCACAAATCCTAATTAAAATCCTCTTACGACACACACGGGATAATTTAGGATTATCGATTTTCATACGCCGCCCCTACACGGCAAAAATTAAAATATAATAAAGAATTAATAAATATTGATAATGATATCTATAATATCAATATATTCGAAAATGTGAACGATACCTTAATGAATCTGTGTAAAGCCTATTTATATATGATATTGATAATTTAAAACTTTAGCACGATGACGTCACAGCCGCACAGTAGAATAAAATAACGTTGCTTATGGTACAACATTTGCGCACGCGGGGAAATGCGATGAAGTCGCTATCTACGCGGGTCTTAAAATATATTACATAATACTCTTTTTATAGAATATGGGTGACAAACAAGCACACAGTCCACTAGATTGTAAGTGGATGCTATTGCCAATATACATCTACATGCAACCTAGGAAAAAAAGTCTTCCGTAAAAAAGTCACCAGAGTTCAGCGAAATTATTTTATTTCGCATACAACTGTCAGACTTAAAATCAAAACGAAGCTACTTCTCAACTCTTTGTGGCACTGTCAGCAATGTTGCCATTTTATTTTATTTTTAGTACCACAAAATTAAACTTCCAACATTATTAATGAAGAGGTTCTTTGATAAACATGTTTTTATTTCTTCAGTGTTCCCAAGTTATTCATTCAGTTATTCATAATTTCATTTATTTTTACATATCATGTTACGTACCTACAGAATGCGTTAGTCATTCACGTACTTAAAAGGTTTTTTTATGACTAAATTACACCTTATAAGTATAAATATATATCTACTGCTATTTGAGTGAAACTTAATGTAGTTTTTAAAATCAAATTGGATTCAAAGTATTAAATGAAGTTTCAAATCGAGTAAATTACCAATTTATTCGCCTTTCAAAGACTGGAGAAAAAGGTATAAAGTAAGATATATTATGGGAAAAAGTCGTGGCCTCAGAAGAGATAAGTAATCTATATTCTATAAAATTACATAGGACAATAAATTATGGTCTGAGATCTGCATGTTTAGTCATTCATACATAATTTTTAGCGTTCTATGTCCGTGCTCACTCTCTGTCCGTCAACTAAGTATAGTATAGGTATGCAGTTAAATATAGATGCAATAATAAAAATTATAATTTTCCTATTGGTCGGTTATCGGTAAAATGGGAAGTATTTTTTTTTAATTCAAATTTTAAAGCATTTCAGTACTGTGTAATCCATTATGTTATCTTTAATTTTAAATATGTATCGAAAACTTTCAAAATTGCTGTCTGTCGCCGTCTTTTAAAGTTTCTTACAAAATAAATAATAATATGTCTTGATTAATAACAGCTTAAAATATAAACTAAACGAATATATCAAAATGAAATTAAAATAATGAGCAAAACACAACATGTTACATTACACACATACATAACAATATTTTGCATATTTACTCTGGCAAATAATAACTTTTTTTTGAGTCCTGTCCTGTCCTGTTATGAGACCCAGTATCTTTGATCTCAGGACAAAATAATTAAATAAATGTTAATATAGTATTGCAAAGTTATCTATATCTAAACATATTAATTAAATTGAAGTGTCTGTCCGTAATATCGAAATAACTACCTTTTATCGAGCTCGGAGGATTATTTGTATTTCGTTAAGACATAAATAACCATTTGTAAAAAAATTCTCCGTATGTCTATCCGGGCATGTTCTTTGAAATAGCATGAAACGTTTGTTTTGAAATTACAAGAACGCTAGCTCCAGAAAATATAGCTATGATCGCTCTTGGCATTGTTCTCAAATATATATGTGACGTATGACGATTTTTTTTGTGAATACTTTAAAAAATCTAAATCGGGTAGGTCGCTAGTAATAGATAATTATCTTAATGTAATTTAAGATTACATGCAGACGATCAGCTAGCGCTGATTACAAATTATCGTATTATTGTATTCTCGAACACTCATTATTATATTTATTTAAAAAAGTACGTAACCCCACGCTACGACTTTCTGTTTTATCATGTAGGCCATACAAACACTTATTCTGAGCAGGATACAAATCTCTCGATTTAAATATATTTGAACTAAATACTCAAATTTTGATGTGGGTGACAATAAATATAAATCCAATATATGGAAGACCTAACTCTGTTTAGTAATCAAAACTTTAATTTTTTTTTCATTTTAATTGTATTAATGCTTAAAAACTCATATTATGAAACATTCATTCATTACATAGACAAGGGATCGTTCTACTTATTTTTACTCGTAGGCACATATTTTGAAGTATGACTAATTCAACACTGTACTGTACAGTGTACACTGTGAGTATAATAATAATTATTATAATGTTTGTCTGTTCAAAAATCAATAAATATCTGGAAAATAATAAAATATTTTAATATAATTTGACGTTCATCAGTTCGCATTATAGCACCGCGAATTAACTGTCTTTTTAATTGTTACCTGCTCTTTTTAATATTATAATATATTTATTATATTATTATTATAATATACTATGACATACTATGTATAGTTTTGTTAGTTTTTAGTTTCCTAATAACATTGTAAAACTTTGTTGCAGGCGTTTGGACGGAAAGGACTATTTTCGGGTAGAACTCGTCCTAGTTCTTCTACGGCTGCACCTCCACAAGACTCGCCAACCATCTCGACAGAAGCCACTGCACCTAGGTTTGTTTTACTTATTTCAGAGTCAGATTTAAGCTGACATAAAACAATGTCATATTCTGTCATATTGTGTCATATTGTGTGTGAAATTCGCATTTACCTATGTACCGAAGTATTTTACTGTGTAGGCGTTAACAAAAATTTGGGTTAAATTTTAATAATGAGATTAATTCAATTTTATAATATAAAAAAATATATAATTAAAATAAATGGCGCTTTGACGATTGATGCAACTATAATAATAAACGGGGCGTTAACATAATAATTAAAATGTTTGTTCTAACTTCACACTACGGGTACTTTGCGGCCGATAAACCTGCTTCTGAAGTAATCAGAGCATGTTCGGGTTAAGTAACGAATGCTAGTACTTTCGTGAAAACTCTATAAAACTATACCAAAGTAGTTTATACAAAACACTTTAATTGTATTGTGTATTACAGTTACTTATTGTGATCAAGGGTTGATTTTTAAATCGTCAGATAAAAGTTATCCATCAAATAAATTACAACCTGACTGAATATAAAAGTCAAACAGTTCAACTATTTTATTCTTACAACTGCATTTTTATAACTTTATTTGTAGTGGCGGCGTAAACATATCCATTACCCTATATTGTCTCGTGGGTATCGTTAGAGTGGATAGCGGCCAGCAAGCCAAAATATAGGTAGGAGCGTCATCCTATAAAAATAAAAATTTCCGTTGTCAAGCTTGACAACTATGGAAAATATCGTAAAGATATGAGACAATCTATGGAGACCTATGTTCAGCAGTTCGGTTCAGTACTACATATCCGAGGCCCATTCCGATGTTACCTAATGTATTAATAGCAAGATATTAATCACAAACGGACGTGATTATGTAAAAAGGATGCAATCCGCAAAAATATATAGTTTGAAATTATGATATTTAAAGTGACACTTCTTATTAGTGTTACTTTCACTAAAATTGTTACATCACATTATAGTATAGACCACAAATATTATTTTTAAATTCAACATTTGGATTCACACAAACATTCGGATAGGATCCTTTTTGCGTAACTACGTCCATTCGATCATGATCGCTTAGCAGTTTTTGATGATGAAGAACTTTAAAGTTTTTTAAAAACCTTTATTTATACAGTACTTAAAATAGTGTTATATCTCTTAGCAAACACTACTAACATTATTATTCGTCCTAGGCTATCCGTATTTATTTTAATAAAAATGCTAGGATGCAACCTCATAGACACGGAGGCAACTAGGTACATCTACAATAGTAATGCCATTATCATTATCATTACAGCGCAGTCTACTGAACAAACAAACATTTTGATTGGGTTTAAAGACCATTTACTTTATAAACTAAACTCCTGTTCCTGTGATTCCTGTTTTTTTTTTTGCCTAGTTTAATAATTTTTTAATTAAGGCTATTTAATTATACCTAGGATGTTTTTTAAACTGAACTTTGTTTACCTTATTTTTCATTATATTTTACACGACGCCCACAAATGAATGAAATCCAACGGTTTATCATTATAATAGTACATTTTGACAAAGTCCAAGCATCTAGTCTATAAATGGGATGTATCGAAACAGAAATGACCAATTGTTTTAAAAATAATGTGTTTAAATCAGCTTTCTAAATGGTTTTATTTAGTTATTTAAGTCCAAAATGAGTCAATTTTGATAAAACAACAAAATTTTCAATATTGGAACAATTATTACCTTACCATTGGGGTTCTATTACCAATTTTAAATGTTTTGTTAAGTTGAAACTGTATAAAAAGGGTTAGTATAGTATAAATGAATACATGGTTGATAATAACCCCTGGGAATGAGGTGGTCGCTTCCAAGCTGTTTCTAAAATTAATTTTGTATGTATATAGTTTGTATAACCATTAATGTAATTTTGCTTAAAAAAAGTCCCGCTGGGATTCTTGCTGGTTCTTCCCAAGACAGAGGTTTTTTTTCGAACCGGTGATAAAGTAAAAAATGACTTTCAATAAGAATTACACATGTGATCTATATTGAATAAAAAATTATTCTATTCAATAAATAACAACACTCGACATTAGTAATAATTTATTGACATAATTTATTGACATAAATTGTGGTAAATGTTAAAATTGTCAGTCACGCCATCTGATGCAGACCCTACATCTACCAAATGATGTCGTAGATCGCTTATTTTTGATGCGGCTGTTTGGACACGTTTGTATTTTAGTATATTGTTTTCTGAATTAAGTAAGTCCTGCCATGACCCATTTCGAGTTTATACAATAATTACCGCACAATCTATATAAGGTTAATGTTTTGAGATATTATGTGCTAATGCAAAATAAAAATTAACCACTATAACCATATAAACTACTTTCCTAATCGCTTTGCTGCTTGTGCATCTTGTTAATAAAAAAATACATTGAAAGTAATTATTACTATGCAAGCATTTAAATAATTAAATTAAAAATGTTCAGTGCAAACATAAATATTACATAATGTATCTTGAAAGTGTGTAATAAAAGTTATTACGGTCATCAGGCAACTATCATTTTTAGTTACATTTTCATTTAATTTTATTTTCAGAGCCCGATTGCGGCCTGGACTCAGACGTGGAACGACGACGACAGCGGCTACCACGGTCGCACCGTCATCTGCCGCTGCTTCTGGATCATCTGCAGAAGAGACTTCCGCCTCCAGCGCTGGCTCGGGAGAAGTCGCTGAAACTACGCTCGCACCTGTCAGGACTATCGGGTATTTAATTGAGTAACTTGCTCATTTTAGTACAGCTAATGACTTGATACGGTATACGGTATAGTTCTACATTCAACTGTACAACAATCAAAACGAAACGAAATCTCTATTAGTAGTAAAAAATTTCTTGGACCTTGTCACACCACTTAACGTCAGGTCAGTTAATCTTAGTAAAACTAACCTGTGATGGTTGATGATAAAAAGTAATTGAAACGTAAATCATAGTCTTCATTAAAATTTTATACTTATTTTTATATATTACAGCCTACTCAAAATAATGTTCTCTCGTTGGATGTCATAAATTCTCTCTTGCGCCGAGTTGAAACAAATGTAACTACTAAACTAGAAAATAGAAACGTTTGTGATGCAAGCATAATGCATTACGAATAATATAAAATACCAATTTTTAACTTTAATGTCTTTCACTTTCACATTTTAAGCCAACCAAAGTAAAGAGCGATGAAAAATAAAATTAAATTAAATTTTATACTGATAAAGTTCATTAATTCACTCTCCTACATATTAAAGAAATGCAACATTTTTTTCAGTCGCAGACCTGGCCAGCTGCGCCCAGTGCCATCGCTACGGCCAGGCCCAAGGTTAAATCTACGACCCAACGCTCGCGCGAGGCCGGGACTCGTTAGTGCTGCACCAGCAGAAACATCTGAAACTTCTGCACCTGACACTTCTGCCTCTGAATCTCCCGTGACTTCCTCCTCTGAAGCAGAAGTTGAGGTAACTAGCGTATTTGATGATATCACAAAACACTTTTTGTCCACGTAAACAAGAGATAATGCTGCTTAAATGTGTTATTATTAATTTCCGTGGTATCAGGGCTTAAGAGTTCGCCTTAAATTTCACAGTACGCGAGCAATGTGGTTTCGATCCCCACCTACACCAATTAAATCCTTAATTGCAAGTTTGATTGTTACCACGTGCTCGACGGAGAACATCGTGAGAAAACCTGCACGTCTGGGGATTAAAATATTTTGAAGACACGTGAAAAACACGAGAGCATCGCCATGGATTAGCCTCTTATTTCATTTCACAAATTAGAGGAGGCCTGTATCCAGGCGGGAGCATGTATAGCAAGCAACATGTCGTAGGTTTAAAAGTTGCTTTAAGCGCACTTCATATCATGGGGTTCGAATATAGGGTTGGGCCAAAATCAGATACTGTTTTTTGTCAAAAAATGCAGTAACTAGTAAACTAACTAACTAGTAAAAATGCAGTAACTAATAAAAAAAGCAGCTACTCGGCCAAAAGATTGGCAGGGTTTCACCCCCTTGCCTCGGAAAACCCATTATGCCGTTATTCCCACATTATTATCTCGCCAAGCTGTCCGACAGCAGTCAAATTGGATTATGAGAGTAATAAAATAGATAGTACAACTGAGCTTGCGCATTTACTCAGGTCACACTCCTGTCTTGTACAGATGGCTAGTCGCTGTTGAGACTTGCTGCCGTGACTGTATTTCGGTCTGGATGACATTATATGGTTACTTTATACTTTTTATATTAAGTCCAAGTTGTGAAAATTATCACACATCTTCGTTTTTCTAGTATTCATCCTTTTATAAATCAGCCCGTAAAAAGACAAATATTGACTAAACAACATGGGCTACTTAAGAAGACCTGTTTTGCTATAATCGCCAGTTTTTCAAATAACAGCACGCTGACGTCTCGCATTTTTCACTGGTATCGGCCATCTCTCGGAGGCACAGATCTTCAAATTTAGTTATCTGTGGAACGAGATCTATTAATGGATTACAAGACTATCATTGGGCATTCTTCATTACAAATCGAAACTTATGAAGTGCTACTTAGAAACAAAAATGTACAATCAAAGCGTGCTGTAGGTTTGTGTAGAAAATGTCAATGAGGTGTATTTTGTGCTGTGTTTAGCTGCAGTTTTAGAGTTTCATTTAAAACACCCACTAAATAGTATAAAACAAAGTCGCTTATCCCATGTCTGTCTTTGTATAATCTTGAACTTGAAAAGACTAAAAACAACGGTATTGGTTTTCACCATACTTCAAAGAACTTCTTGAAGAAGATTTTGGCGTATAGTACTTGCATATGCCTTGCATTTATAATGTGGCGGTAGCGTAAGGTGCTCATTACACAGCAGGTTTTGTTGTCAGTTTTACAACAATCACGGTTGTGATTGACGAATAAGCTACCGTGTAATGCGGTGATTGACGGTTGCATGAAATTAATTGACAAATATCTGGATATTTTGATTTTACGTCAATTTTGATTGAGTTGTATCTCGCCAGCAACGCAAAGTCGGGAATTTGCATTTGGAAAAATCCAAAATTAGGGGCTTTTAGGTGCTAATTAAGTACCATGTTTAAAAATTAGTTGCTCCAAAATTTTCACCGCAACGTACGATTGAAATTTGCGTTGTTGTTGTTTTAAAAGCAATATTGATTCTATTTTGATTTTCAGAAAACCTGAATTTTGCATCTGCTATGTTCTGAATAGCAACTTTATTTTTATTAGGAGCGCCTTGTTATTGCGTATACTTGCAGCACCTAATTAGCACTTAATTCCTTGCTATTAATATTTATCGTATACCTAATAACTTCATTGCGTTACTAGCGAGACGTTTTGCTAGCAACGCAAATTTCAACAGTTCATTGTGGTGAAAATTTTAGAGCACCTAATTTTTAAACTTGGCATCTAATTAGCACCTAAAAAGCCCCTAATTTTGAGTTTATCTAAATACAAATTCCAGATTTTGCGTTGCTGGCGATACACAACTTTTTGATTGAACGTGTAATGGCATTTCGTCAAACACCCATCGTTGCTCCTAGCTTTTCTTCGGGAGTTATTGCTTTTCGCATACATGTTTCTTGTTTTTTTTTTTAGAACTGTTACCAAGACCAGTAATTTATCAAAACAAGTATCTTTCATGCGAAAATAATTTGCATAGTTTTTATCCTCTTTTGAAACCCGTATGTCAATAAGTTAATATGGGTATAGAAATCTTATTTTAAAGCCAGTCTTTTACACAGGGCTTTCTTTTTATATGTTTTTTATACAAAATTTCAATAAAAATTGCAGCACAGGCCTTTTGTTTATGAATATCCATCCTTTCCCTCTGAAATTTTGGGTTTGACTGACGATCAATCAGAATGAGCGTGTTATGTTGAAATTATTCTATCATTCAAACATCAATCATTATTGATCGAACTGATTGACGCTTGCCTAGGCGTGTAATAGCCGCTTAAGAGAGCCCAATCACTCAATTTCGTCTCATCGGTGTGACGTGTCTACGGCAATTGCTAGAAAGATCTCTTGGCTTTCGATAGATGGTGCTGTAAACATTTCGTTTACACCAAGTGTTGAATGTCCAGCATCAACGGTGCAAGACGTCTGGTACTGCGGTCGTCAATGCCTGCCAAGCGTGAAGATTGAGGCAAAATATCACTACAACGGGGCAACCCTCACATATACCAGTAAACTTGCAAAGGAGTACGGGCTGAAAAAGAACAAAGACATTTTTCTTTCTTGGCATACTAAGAAAAAAAAACCTACATATCGCTAGTAAAGTAAACAAGTCCTTATTTTTTTATTTTAATGTTTGAAATGCTCTCTTATCTAAAATATTTACTGTAGGTATAGAATTGGCGTTATCTTGACGATTTATCAATTCATGACGCGTTTGTAAAATTGTCCAATTGTTTATTTAATTATCGCAATAGTGTGCATTAACATAATATTTTGTCTCCAAAAATTGTTTAATTTTTAGAGAATTAGTGTACTGTGTAGTAAACTCAAATTTGACACGTGATTCCGCAGCGTACTTTTATTTTATTTTTTTAGTTTTATGTCATGGAAAACCAAAAGCTTACGAAGTTTAGCTAAGTTATGTGTTTAATCACAAGAAGCCAATAATTTTTCGTCGTTTAAGGGATACAAGCTCAAATTCGACCGTTAAAAATGGATTATAATCACAATGTACAATATGCATAAATTTAATAAGTGAATCATACAATATTAACCAAAAAGAAAACATAAAATAAACAGGACTATACGCTCTATATAATATGTTTTTCATTAATTATCCTACTATTTCACACTGGTATTCCGCGCGAACGTGATCCTTCCTTGCACGACCAGACCTGTTTGTGTAGCATCCACAATATAAAGGCAGCTGGCTGTATGACGTAAATTATTATTGTTTGCCTTCTCTGTCTGTAATTTTCCCTACTATAAGTCAGTGACTGATCACAATTCCACCTGTTGTTAAGTTACAATGAAGCTCTATGGTGAATCGCACTGTCTTAGCGTAACAAAAGCCTATTGATTATTGCCTTGTAGACGGCCAGATTGTCACCGGACTCCACTCCACACACTCCTTTGCTGTACACATTACGAAAGTCGAAGCAAACGCTTTGATTCGAATGCATCGAATATCGAAAGCAAAGTGGTGAAGGTCCACCGACCGAGGCATTTTCTGAAATACCAAGACGGTGGCTACTTTGCGCCTGTGCTCCAGGCTGAAAAGATTGGTTTCCAAAGACGCCTCACTACTGAATCTAACGATGCAAGGTGGCAATTTACAGCAGCAGCCCACATGTGACAGTATCACTCCATGCACTTCCGGATTTTTCTTTTATTTAGGGGGTCAAAAGCGGCGTGATGTACCGCCGCACGCTTGCTAAGACGCTTAGTTCTATAACCATATGTTTTATCGTGTTTTACACGCCAATTTGCCTATGACTTCTATATAATAATGTGTGTTTTTCAAAATTAGGGTTCACCAGCGACTCCTGCGCCTGAACAACCGCGTATAGGTGGATTGAGGATCAGAAACCGACTACAAGTTTCACCCTCGCCCAAGCCCCGTGTTGCTGTGACTCCACTGCCTCGTCGTCCCAATCCATTGCTTAAGAGAAAACAAACTACTGAGGTATAATAGACATAACTACTAAAAATAGCGTGTTAATTTAAATCGAAATGTTTGATTAGTTTTTTTACTTCATCTTATACTGTGTATTGGGCCTAAAATTTCATTAATTTGTCGAACGAAATTTATATTGATACTGCGATTTTCAACCACCGAGTCTTAATTTTAAAGATTAAAAAGAATATAATATTATATGATCTTATGTTGTGATCGTGATGACAATTATCTAATAAGCGGAAGGTATTCATTGCGCTGGAGATAGTATAGTGCCGAAAGCGTATGCGTCAACTTATAAACATACCAACGTCCACGTACATAACGTTGAAAGTAAATAACACATCAAGCGCAGCAACAAAATATCACATGATAAACTTTATTTACCTTCGAATAAAAAAGTTTATGAGATAAGATTGGAGATTAATAGGATAGGATGCAGTGTCAGATACACAGCGACAACCATATCATAGACACGATAAGCAACAATTTTTTTGTTGCACTAACTACTCTGCTTTTTGTTGTTTTGACCCTTTACTCGGTCGGTGAAATATTGAATACACTCGCAAGTTTGGTCAGTGAATCCCTACGGATGAAGCTGTAAACCAGGACCAATGTTAAAGTACAAAATAACACTATCCTCCAATTCCATTCCTAAACAGGCAACAACGGAGGCACCAAAGAAGTCCTCCATGGAAACGACAGAAGAAAGCACGAGTGAGGAGAAAAGCGAAACCGAGACTGAGGCGCAGCCTGCGGAGACTACACCAGCACCTCCATTACGGGGCTTAGACGCTCTAATCGCTCGTCGCAGAGCCGCTGGAATCGGAGGTCGCATTGCCAGACCCGCCAGAGGAGCGCGCCAATCAAAATAAACTCAGTTTATAAATAAACCTTTCCATTGGCGTAGCTAGAATTAGCATCGCAGCTCTTCCATATAAATAAACCTAATTATATTGACGTAGCTAACTACCCTATGAGGTTAGCCTCTGAGGATGCAGGGACAAAATAATAATTTACATATCTTAGTTATATCTTCAGTTAACTATAAATTAGTAACATTCCCAGTTTGTTTATATTGAAATCATTAAACATATGTTTTCTATGACGTCCATTACATCTAGCTTTGCTGCGAAGACACCGGCGTTTTGTAGTCACTTATCCCCCTAGCTACGTCAATGTAGGAGACACCTTACATCTCGTGGAAACGTATTTTGGGAGCAACGGCATCCGGTTATATTGAATCCAACAAAAATAACTGGATAGTTTGAAAAAATGTAGTTATGTTGAATAAAGTCTGTTAAAACGCAGATAGATATTCTTATGTATCATAAAGAGAGCATCGTCCATCGAGGATATTATTAATTATTGAACTAGTGAAATTTGATTATGCCAAATGTCCATTCGTGCCTTATAAATATGTTTCGTCAACCTCCTTTGCTCATTCTATATTACGTCTAAATCATTATTACAACACGTAATATTTTTTTACATTTTAAAGAATAGCCGACTTTAAGTTTAATCGCCACAGAGTACCTTATTAATAATGGCCACTTTAAAGAAATTTTAATATGAAAACATCGAAAGTCAAAGAAAGTATTTCTTTCTTTTACTATCATTACTCAACTCCGTTTCTCATTTACGTAATCAGACGTGCGCGGTTTACGTAAATTGATTCAGTCGTGCCGTGCGCTCAAGACGTTTCTACACATTTTTTTTTTCACTTTTTATTGGTTTAATGACATGCACTTATAACACTGACAATGCAATTTCGTTACAATACCTAATAAATTAATTTAAATGTGTAACAACTGAATTGAGTAAAAATATTTGTTCTACATAACGAAACGTATTTTGCGTAAATATTATTAGACAAAAAAATATTTCTTCATTTATTTAGATCATTAAAATATGAAGTTTATTTTGCATTGTTAGTGACAATAGTAACAAATATAGCGGACCATGTCATTTTACTGTAGTCAATTTTTTCTCGAAACTGTGTTGAGATTAGTACATTTTATTTTATATCGATTTCCAGAAATATATTCTGTTAGAGTAATGTACTGTACTTTATTAGGTGTATAATCCATAGTTGTCTAACATTTAAATAGCCTTATGTTTTTACGTTTCCCTCCTCGGAATTAGCTTCTTCGATGTAAAGATTCATCTTAGCATTAATTTTACAATTTATGTACATATTAGAATTAAATATTTGTTACGCATGTGCGGCAGTGGTTGGCACTGAGAACTACATCGCTCGCCTATTGGTCGTTTTTCAACCAAATTATCAATATTCAAATTCATTTTATTGCCTTGTTTTGTTCGCCAAAGCATTCAGTATAATGAAACATAATGTTAAGGTTACATACATTACTACCTATACTTTTATACGTTTCCACAACATCCTAGTGTTGTGTACATCGTAAATAACTACTAAATTAGTACCTATCATGCGTTTTCAGGCAATTGTTATTCGCCTATAAATACGAGTATGATTTATCCGAAGACGCCCCTAGCGAACAGCACAAGTTTATGTCCTTAAAACATATTTCATTTCCACAGTAATTCAAAAATATATTTTAGACTACTATGTTATAGTTTAATAAAATTAATGCTTCGCAATTATTTAGATCGATTTAGGTTTGTATATACATATTATATTTAGTCCACTTAAATATTTGAATATTAACACAAAACTTGTATGTATTCATTTTTCTTAATTTATTACAGCTAAGTGATAAACCTTTTAGGGCTTAAGTAAAAAAAGTCGTTAAATAATAATTCCGACAATATTCATCACTTTGACTTTGTCTCCTGAAGCACTGATAGTTAGTGCCATCGTGATATGTTTTGTATCTTTCGTAAGTGTGATAATAAACTTAATAATAAGATTGTAATGTTTATAAATGTTTGGTTTTATTTCTCATTAAACCATTTACTTTTTTATTACATAATTAGGATATTACTCCTACCATGTCTCCATTTTATAATTTATTTAACGAATTGAGGTCAAGTAAAGCAGTTAATATATACGTTGTCAACGGTTAAACACCTTGAACTAAACAAGCCTGTACAGTTGTACTTTGTATTTAAATGTATTGTACGAAATATGAATACAAGGCATAAATTGAAATTATTGTAGTTCAATCACATGAGTAGATAAAATGTGGTTCAATAGAGCGAACAGACGGTTCGGTAGAGAATATCTTGTTTAAAACGTGCCGCCCTTGTATTATTGGTAGATATTGTTAAATTTACCTTCCGTATTAGGTATCAAAATCTGCGCGTTGATTTTATTGTGTTTTAGTAGTTTTTAGAATTTTAATTATAATGATAAAAGGGATGAAACTTACCAAAAATAACAGGAAAGCGCGTGCAATTGTTAAATAGACTTTCTCTAGTAAATTGTAAATGTTGTGCCACAACGAGACGATTGTATTGTAGCTGAATGGTGGTATTCCCGATTCGACACCGCTGCTGTTTGGATATTGACAAGAACAGTTGATCCAAATATAACATGGTTGGTGATTATAATTTATTCATGCTTCCTGGTTTTAACTCGGAATGAATTACATTCCACAGGGTCACAGTAATCGCAAGATACCATGTTGGATATGCGTCTGTCCTTGCTTAGAGTAAGGACTAAGGTGCATATTCTTTAAATCTTGAATTTAGGGGTAGCAACAATATTGTTTTACTTAAAGAACTTTATTTATCATTAAAAAAAATCAACGAAAATATACAAATGGTCTTAAGCAGATGACACGAATTCCAAGTACCTTGGATACCTCCAAAGGCAAAACAAATAATTTAAAATTAAAAATTTTGTACAGTGGCCGACTTCAATATAAGTTATTTAAGAATAACTCAAAACCTATTGGTCTGACCTTGACCTTGACTCTCATATGGGACCACACGAGAACTATCAGTTTTCATATAAAAAAAGAATCATCGAAATCGGTTCACGCAGTACAGAGTTATGAGATAACACACATAAAAAAATACAGTCGAATTGAGTACCGTCTCCTTTTTGGAAGTCGGCAGAAAATCTGTTAAAATAGATTAAAAGTTCTCTCGATATTATTATTATATTTGAAGCAATAACGTCTGAAATAAGAACGCAAGTCATACGTAATTTCAATAGAGTTATAAATATCATTGAATAGAGTAGGTAGTGTACAAAACATGCAAGAGTTATGCCCTCTTACTACTGTTTGTTTGAATGATAAACAAGTTGTTATCGTGTCCGAATGAAGTGAGTTGTGACTTGTGACGTGACTCTTTGCTCGCTTTTTACCTTAAAGATTTCATCATTAAACAGAAAAGATGTGTTGGGTCGCGGCGCAACTATTAACTACTAACCTAAATATATTAATAGTAGTCATTTGTATTTTAAAGTATTTTCGTCTTTGTTACTATGTGTTTGTTACTATGGACTTACACGTTATCTTTATAGGGCTATCTATTACAAAAAGATACGACTTTTAGATAACGTTCAAGATTCTCAAATGAAGTTAACGAATATTGTAATTGAATTTAAATATTGAATATTTCAGTAATTCTGAAAACGATTGTACCTACTTAATTATTAGCTGTTTTTATATCGTCAGATAAAATATATTCGTAGGATGAAATAAAACATAAACAGATTAAAAACTACACATACAATAATTGTAAAAGAAAATAGTTTAATTGTTTGACTTTTTATACTCAGTAAGGTATTAATTTAATTGATGGATAACTTTTATCTGATGGTTTTAAAATCGGTCCTAATTATAATAAAAACTTTCAAAGTATGACTGTAACCTGCATATACTAAAGGATCAGTATCCTAAAGTGGCAATGCATCAGCCATATAACTCGAAGAATCGGTAACTAATAGGGACTAGACAATAAAAAGTTCTCAACAACCTGCCTCAGTTGGTACACAATCAATTTTAAATCTTCTTCAATCTTAAATCCTACTGGTGGTGGTGGAAAGCAGCATATTGTGACAGAGTGCCTGAACGAAAAAAAGAGAGTATGAAAGTGAAAAGAGAGTATATGAACCAATCTGCCTCGCGTGGTCAGTATGGAGATCCCCTTCAAAAATAATGATTACTTTAATATAGTGCTAATTGTTTGTCATCTATTCAAGGTCATTACACACCGCAAAAACAGCCTATACGCACGATCATACTACATTATGATGTGAGGTGACCAAACAGTCTATAGGACATTTATTTATCATACCAAGTTGCTCGTTGACAGAACGGTGAGGTCGTTAATTTAACCATCTATGGAAATAGTGGTAATGATATTCTCCGCACTAATTACAACTATAATAACACCTTAAGAAAACGACAACAAACATTGAAAATACATGTATAAAATATGTACCTCTTTGTATGAGAATTTATATGGCGTATAATTCCTCTAAATTACTCATCAAAAGCTAACGTTGCTTAGGTAATATTTATATTTAATAAAGAAGATCAGAAACATTATTCGTCCTCTCTAGATGAATAAATTTCATAAACAAAGTGCCCGTACAATCTAACTACAGGACTGAGAGACTACAGCAGCTCACTATGATACATACATATGAAAAATTGACATAAACATCAATCGTATTCTTCTGTTTTTTCCCCATAAGCTGGACTGATTTTAATATTTATTAAGAACTGTTTCAGATTGTGGATTTCCGTATGATATAATTTTTTTATATTCGTTAAATTTGTTTACTGTGTGTCCAATAATGGCAGTATATTCTATTCATAAGTGTGCAAATATCTTAGAGTATAATTAATCAAGCTAACAATAACAGTTAATAATAATCCACTTACTATATTTGATACGGATAGGATAATATTAACAAAAACGTTTAAATCAAATT